TCAGTTTTGTGCAACGATCTGCCAAGCCGTTTCTTTGTAATTTGAAAAAAAACTTTTCATCCACATTTAAGCTCATCTTACCGAACGATTTTAAAAAATCAAAACTGTTCGAAAGATATTAGTTGGGAATGATACTGATTAATTTTAGGTGAAAATCTACCGAGCCGTTTTCTTGTAATTAACTGTTGAAAAAAAAATTTAAGCCAATTTTCATGGAATTTTTTTTGGCGATATACATCATGGTCTTATAGAACTTACTGTAATATTACGGCCTAACGACAAGTAGTTTAATTTTAAAAATTCGTCAAAGTTTGCTAAAATTATTATCGTTTTTTTTTAAAGTAGGATTAATGAAGTATATTATTTACACATTTTTTTTTTGATTAAGTCGATTATTTACACATTTCGGGAAGTTCATGTAACTTGCCTCAAGGCTAAATACCAAACCAACTAGTTTATTTATGTTATTTAAATTCAAAACCTAAATTTGGTATCGATCTAAGTAACATTTTGCCGAATAACATTTTTTCAGTTATAATTTCGCAGAATTTATCGAAGAATAGATAGTAATATATGAAGGTCCGGGGTTAAAAAGGTCCACCACCGATGTGTCAAAAACTAGTAAAGTTAGGCATTGTTTAACAACAATATTTGAAAGTAGAGGGAAAAAGATGTATAACCAGCTATTACCTTGATTCTTATGACTTTGCTATCGGAAGATAAACTGTAATCTTTGAAAATCCATAATAAAAGTATTTTCTTCCGTTGGTAGTTTTTTTTTAGCATTAGTTGAAAGTGTAATTAATTTGTAAAATACCTTCAAAATTAAAATAAGACATTAAACCTGTTTGCCACCTGGCCGGTCCAAGTTACCCTGTCTATGGGGTAAAAAGGTCTAATCAACAATTTTTTTTAAAGACAGCAAAAAAAGCACATTTCTACAATGATGAAGTAGCTGGCAGTTTAACTGAACGTAGTCAGATAATTTTTATTTTGAAATGTGTTATTTGTTGTGATATAATTAGTTTGATTATTATAATATAATTCAAATTTATTATTATTATAAAAAGTCAAATTAGACCTTTGTGTCTCGCCCCGCTCTACATTTTATTTAATTTACTTGAATTCATCGAGTGTTACTTGAAACTTTTCAAAAAGCAGGTCAAAAAAGAAATACTTAATTCATTTTCTATCTCTCCTTTCTCCTCGCAGAAATTTGAAAATTTTGTATAAGCTCAGTAGTATTATTTACAATTATACACAAAATCCAGAATCCAAAAAGGATCTGAAAAACTTGAAACGTAATCAATAAGTCAAAAGACCAAAAAAGACTTGGATTGGATTATACCATGTTTTCTATAGAAAGTGTATAAAACTTCCAGTTTGATTGTATTGACAAAATAAAGACAAACTAATGGGATTTATTGTTTTTATAATACCTCATTGTATGTAGCATTCAAACAACACATTCTTATGCACTTAAAGTATTAATATTTTTGATTCTCTAGAAATTGTTTAGAATATACCTTACTTAGCAAAACAACGTTTGCCGGGTCAGCTAGTTTATAATATTAATAATCTATAATATATGTATCTATAATACATGGATATATATATATATATATATATATATATACAATAAATAATAATGCAGAAATTAGAATCAGGTTAACCTGAATTATTCTTATTTGTAATATGCTTATAATCTTCATGATTTTTTTTCTCTTAATGTTGAAGTAAGAAGTCGGTTAACTCGCGTCTTAAAATACAACCCGAACTTCTTAACCACCGCCACAAATTGTTCGTCCAAACAAAGGAACGTGACGCAATATAGTATTTAAATTTCGAGAGCAGTTTCGAAATAATTTTTGGAGTCTCTTATCCTTTCCAAGGTAGAGACCAATAAATAATTGAAACTAGTTGGGTGTATGGCATCGGGCTTTAAGGCAAATTGCTGGAACTTCCTGTTCCGTAATTAAAAATCTTGGTACGGAAGCCAAAAAAATTTAAACAAAATGTGTACACATTATTAAAATCTCTATAAAATATCTGATAATTTGATGTACATATGTCCAATAAATATTTTTGACCGCTTAATGACATTTTTTTTAACTTATTTTTCTTAAGAGTCCATAACCGCTGGACCTGCCTTACCAAAAAATTAATCAGTCGTTCATCTTGTCAATACAAGTGAAATGTTTTTTGAATTATTAAAATCGGACGCTGTGGTTTCTTAAAAACTGAGTTACAGTTACAGTTTATATCTGCCTTTGCCAAAAACTAATCAGCGCGTCTCCTTATCAATACAAATCGAATGTTTTTTGAATTATTCAAATCGGTTGATAAGTGTTCCCGAAATCGTCGACGAACATTTGTATCCGCACACACACACACATACATCCATTTTTTCTAAGGTATGCCAAAATATTCAGAAACCTCTGAAACGTAAAGTTTATAAATTTATTTTTGCGATTACTGTAAATTACCCTACGGGAAGTTAAAAAATACTTTTGTGCTTGTGGCAGTTTCTATTGAGGTATCAAAGTCGCCAGATTTGAGGCAATGGGTGGTTACACATTTTGCCCTCTACTTTAAAATATCTATAAAATTTATAATACTTTATTTGCATACTTCAAACCGTATTCAAATTTTCGTATCTAATAATAAATCCTAATTTTAATTTTATATAAAAATAAATACTTGAGTGGAAATATATATTTATAAATAATTTTATATTTAATAGTAGAATTAATTTTTATTGGGAATTAGTTACTATTATACTATTAATTGTTTAAAGAAAAATATTTTCTCAAAGTATTTTTTCCTCTTAGTTTGCGTTATGTGAATAATATGTTAACCAGTTAACTGACGAATATACTCGTCATGAGAGAGTGATACAATTTTGTGTATTGACGAGTATATTCGTCATGTGTATAAAACAGTGATCAGTTACGATTAAAATAGAAATTATTAAAAAAAACAATATTTTCTAAAATGTGAAATTGTTTAGAATATTTTGATGGCATGAATGTATAAAATAAACAGTTGTAAGTGGCATTTTACCTTGAGGCAAGTTGCATAAAGTTCTCAAATTGTGGAAAATATACCTAATTGATTATATACAAAAATATACAAAATTGAGCGCACAAGCAAATATTCTTAACCCAGATAAATTTTATTAAACAAAAAAACAAAAATTATGGCTTTATGTAGATATAAAGAATATAGTTTACCCCTAATAATCCTGAAAATCTTGAAGCAATCTGCAAAAATATATTAGGCTGGTGCTTCATGAAGACAGTTGGTCCTAATCCTTGGTAAGAACGTACTTTGTCATTGTATTCTGGTCTTTCTGATGCAAAGACGAAGTAATCGTTATTTCCTTGAGAATGTCCTGATAAAAAATTTAAAAAATCTTATTAAAACTAGGCGTAAGTGGCATTTTGTTTTGTAAACTACATGTGTAAATAATCGACCTTATCAACAAGATATCAATGTATCAATTTATGAGTGATTTATAAGTAACCCTGTTGCTGTAGGCCACAATGTGGGAATTTTCGACATATAGTTTAAATATTACATATTTTGCAAAAACGATATATGTGATGCTATAAATCAATGAATTGCCAATTATTTTATCAAGGCAGCCAGTTTTTTTTAATTACAGTCTGTCTGTACATAAAAAGATAACATTAAGTAATATTGAGGATATATGTGTATTATGGAGTTAGTATGGAGGACTGTGAAAAATTAAATAGAATTATACAGTCTTATTAAATAATGGATTATAAACAATGTAAATAAAGACTATAAATAGCAATATACAAACCAAGAATGTGCAACTTTTCTTCACCAGTTGTCTCAAAAATAAAATCCACTATAGCCGGTACGTCTAATATTCCAACTTCATGCCAACTGTAATATATATAAACAAATAGATGACTGTAATTTTAGTTTTTAAGAAATTTTTATGTATTTCCTGGTTTACCTTAATACACTACATACATACTGGATAATAAATAATTTAACCATAAAACACGAAAAATCTATTCACTCTACATCACGAGCAACTTTTACAATGATGAAAGTACAAAGAAAATTTATTGAAATCATATTGGCGGACTCAAAATTGGTTATTATGATTTTTATTTTGTTATAAATTTAATTTAACAATTTAACAAACTTGCTAAAATACTAAGATATCCAGTCAGATATTTTATTATACTTATGACTGATTAATTAAAATATTTTGTAATTGAATATTCACAAATTCTAAATTCATCAGAATTTCTTCATGATTTAGTAGGTGGTGACTGATTATTGACAAAGCCATGTGGTTGCTCTGCAGTCAGGCGTTTTTCTCATGTAGTCAGCTAGAAAACCAAACCTCGAAACCGCATAAGTGTCAAAAAAAAAACGATGTCACATAACAGGGTCTTTCTGACCCAGCTCCATAACATACGAGTGACGTTGCAGTTTGTGTAAAACGTCTGAATGCACAGCAAATGCATGACATTTTGAGAGTATTCAGTGTGATTCAGTAGCATAATAAAAGTAACATGACCTTGCCATAACATAGACTAGTCTGGTATAAATGTACCAAAATATTTTAGTCATAAGAATATAATTTATTTTTGTTTAGATATGAATACGTGCAATGATGCTGCTTTTCATAGTTTTAGAAGTAAAGAAAGAAAATAGTGGGATGACATGAATTTTTATACATTAGTAGACTATTAAACGACATGTTTTTAATTCTTCTCATGTGAATTAGATCTAAAAATTTGCAATATTTAGAATAACTAGTTTGCTAAACTAAATTTGAACTTGACTAATTCTGTTAAACAAAAATTCTATATAATTTAGTGGGTGGTCTTTATTATGTAATCATTCGGAACCAACGGGTTTTTATAACCATTTTTTCACATAAAGTATCAATTGCCATTATTATTTTTTATATAGTTTGTTATTAGTGTGGTATTAATAAAATATTCTTTTACCTGAATTCCCAGAAGGCAGCTTGGGCTGGATCCAAAGAAATGTGTTTTTTGGAATTGGTGCTTCCTCTGGTGTTACTAAGCCAAACATCGTATCCAGATTCAGAAAGGAAAAAACCTGTAAGTGATTTTTTTTATTTCATTATATAATTTAAAAATGTCCATATAAAAAATATAATAAAAATATATAAAAGAAAAACGACAAAGAGCAAAAGTTACCAGAATTACTTGGACTTTGAATGATCAATGCAGTTGAATAAGAGTAAAAATTAATTTATATATATAAATTAAAAACTGCATATAAAATTTAATTCCTATATATATAAAAAGAAAAGAATAATGTGTTTGGGTAGAATATATATTGTGAGAGAATTCATTTAATTTCAATTCAAAATTCATTTAATTTTTTAAAATCATAAATATATTCATATTTGTAATAGTATTCAACTATTTTTTTTAAATCCATAAAAGTTTCTTTAAAATTACAGCTAATAGTAGTTTACATGAATTCTTAACATATTCGACATATACAAACTGATAATAAATTTTCTATATGAATAATTAATTTTGAAAAAATAAAGCAATTGTTATTAAGTCGCATAGTAACAAAATTGCTTAATTATTTAATATATAACTTTTATGAGGTAAAAAATATTTGCTTCAAACATTGATTTTATTTTTAGAAAATTCATTTTAAGTGAAACTATTCTAACTATAAAATTTGGCTAACTATTAAGCTTAGTTAATAAGAAATATTACTACTGTTAATTTAGTTTAGTTTAATTGATGAAGTTGAATTTACAATTATGATGAAATATTTAATACTGGCTGAAGAGAACTTTTAAGTCTTGGAACAATTTTTGTGCTCTAAGGTTATTTTAAAAATCGTTTTTCATTTAACAAACAATATTTCACTTGACTAAAAATATGATAAAGGTAATACAATCGTTAAATTATCTTAGGTAAATAAATTCTTGAAAAAAGCGAGTTATTCTACAAAAATTTAGGAGTGAAAGTCAATTGGGTTTATTTAGGTTTTGATGTGTTATTTTATCAAAATATTAGTGAGAAAAAATTTAGTATTAAGAGTAATAAGAGTGACTTTAGATTTTTTTCATTTTTACCTAAAGATTTTTCTCCACTGACAACAAAATCAGCAGCACTTGAAAAAATACCATGAAGGACCAATACTGGTCCTTTGGTAGAACTACCAGGTCTGCCCTTGGCATATGGTATCCTGTCGACTTCTAATAAATATCCATCGGCTGTTTGAACTTCATATTTCAATACAGGATAACCATGTTTTTCTATTATTTGAGGCTTAAATCAAATGAAGAAAAACCAATTGAAAGTCAGAAAAATCAGAAAAGTTTAAAAAGTCCAATATTATATATCAAGGGAAGTTTATGCAAATTATCTTAAAGTAAAATGCCACTTACACCTAGTTCCTTTAAAAGTGATTCTACAACAAATTTAAAAAAATAACTCAAATGGTCCATAACAAAATCAAAATTAAATTAAGTTTCTCACATCAGGACTTCATATAAATAAATTTTTATCATTTATTATATAACTCATTGTTATAAAAATGAAATCCTTAGAAACCTTGGTCTTGTAACACCTACTAAATTTACATACTATCTAGAAATTTGAGTAATATATATATATATATATATATATATATATATATATTAAATTAAAAAAAAATCTGAAAATGAAAATTAGCACTTAAATCTAGAGTTCTTAAAACTTTAATTTATCAATATTATTAATTAAAAAAATATTTGTAATTAATTCTGATATTTGTTTCAAAATTAACTCACCACCGTCTGACGTCTATGTTCCGCCTTTGAAAAACCTTTTAGCAATTTGTCTTTTATTACCAATTCAGTAAAATTTTTTGCATGCACAAATTCTTCTAAACAAATCAATATTAGCATAAACAATTCCAGAAATTTCATGACGGTTTTTAGAAGAACATGAAATACAAAATAATAAAAAATATTTTACTACAAAATTTTTACCACATTTTTCCAATACAAATTGCGAACTGTTTGTTAAATTTTATGTCAACAGTTGATTCTTCTAACTAATAAAAAATGAATTTGTTCACTTTATCTTTCTACAACTATAATTATTGATAATTTTTTAAACAATAAAGCAATTTTTTGCAGAAAACATTTGTTATCGAAGTTCATGACGTGTTAATTTGTGCATACGAATATTTTTTCTATCGGAAAATTTAAACTTGGAATAATTTAGTTAATATTATGTACTCACAAATTATTAAAATATATGTATATATATATATATATATATATATATATATATATAGTACAATACTTTTTGTAAAAATGTTATTTTTGCAATTGCATGTTTTTTTTCAAATTACAATTCGAAAGTATTGCATATTTAGAGCATATTTTTAAAATAATATGTTTTCCATAGTAATTATAGCATCCACTTATAAATTTTTTCTTATAAATATATTCGATTTAACACATCTTTTGTTTTTGAATTCTCAATTTACAACTCCAGGATTGTATAAATTATGAATAATATTGAAGTTTAAATTTTTTCATTATTTATTCTATCGATTTCATATTTTGCATCATTTGTTAACTTCCGTAGGGTAGTTATAGTAATGGGCCGAAAATCAAAAATGAAAATTTTTGCATTTCTCGGCGTTTTGAAGGTTTCTGAACATTTTACTGGCATACCTCAGAAAAAATAGAGGTGTGTGTATGCGTGTGAGTGTGTTTTGTATGTCCGCATTATTTCGTCCACGTTTTCGGGCGCACGGATCAATCGATTTGAATGGTTTAAAAAACATTCGATCCCTATTGATAGGGAGATGTGCTGATCAGTTTTTGGCAATGGCAGGTCCCGCCATTTCGAAGATACAGAGCTAAATGTGCAAAAAATGGCAGTTTTTGAGAGAACTCAGCGTCCGATTTGAATGATCTAATAAAACATTCAATTTGCAATGATTGGGAAAAGTGGTGATTAGTTTTTGGCAAAGGCAGGTCCAGCCATTTCGAAGATATAGAGCTGAATGTGCAGAAAATGGCAGTTTTTGAGAAAACTAAGCGTCCGATTTGAATTATTTGAAAAACTTTCTGCTTGTTTCAACAAAATAATTGGTTTTGGAAAAAAAAAAATTCAATTTGTATTATTTTAATTTTTTTTTAATTTTTTTGTATATCGAAAATAATTCAGATTTTAATTGTAATTGTGACTTAAGCTCTAGTATGCTATAAACAAATAATTTCAATCTTGCAATTTAGTTTCTATAATTCTTATAAATATTATACAATGTTACAATATTTATAATAATGTATTTGAAAGCATTTAATATTCCTCGAACATTTCAGTATGGTACGGGAGGGTCCGGCAATTTGGTTTAAGGCACTATGCCATACACCACTAGTTTGAGTTTTATATTGTCTATGGCATAGTTTAGCATTATTTATTAAAGGTATTGAAATGTATGTTTATATGAAATATTTGTAACAAGTTTCTTTTTAATTTTCAACATTTTATTCTATGGACTTATAAAATTGTTTAGTAATTGGCTTTCTAAAGTTATTGCCAGAAATTTTCAAATATTTATTTCTGACACTACAGAATTATCTTTAGAAGTTGTGAATTTAGGTGAACAGTATCTGTATTAATTTAATTTTGGTAGAACTCAAATTGTATTAATAATTTGTATCTATACTAAAATTTTACTATAATGTACAAACATTAAAAAATTTGCAATCAATTAAAAAAACATTGCATATGAAAAGTATATTTGAACCCTTTTACACAATTCAATAAATTTTGGCTGAAAGTTTCTTATAGCAAATAATACAAGCACATATTGTTGGATTGAATTCTAATTTCATTTTATATTAACCAAATATACATATACATTAACATTTTTCCATATTTTTGGCAACATGACTATAAACCAATTCAATTGCATCAATGCCAAATAAATAGTCACCATGACCCCAAAGTTGGTCATCAACTTTGTGCAAAACTTTTACATTTGGCAACTGTTCTGCCGAATATTCAACGTCCTGGAAAAAAATAATAGAAAAATATTTTATAAACCTATTTATGATAAAAAATTAAATGTATAAAATTTTGAAAGAAAAATCGCTTGTAAATATTGCTTCCAAAAACCTAGACGTTGGTACTTCGTTCGTTCTTCCACAGAACCCTTCCAATGAAGTCAGAAGAAATTTATAGGAAACTGATTATATATATATATATATATATATATATATATCAATTTACCTGAGGAGCGACCAGTTTGTCGTTATCAGAATAATACAAATAAGTTGGTGCAGTAAGTTTCTTCAAGTCATATTTTGGTGGAGAAGCCTGTCCATAAATCAGGTTATTTTTTAACCATCCGTAGTCGTACTTTTCAAAATTTCCTGGAAGAAATAGTAATTGAGTCAACATTTATTATTTTGAAGTTAAAATCAGTAACCTGCCCATTTTGGTTGAGTTACAAATTTTGTAGTTGGTTTCGTATATTGGAACCAAAATCTGATATATAAATTATAGTAATTTGATATTTTACGTATAAATTTAACATCTGTATTTTGATGCGTTTTAAAATAGTCTAATATAATAGCTAAAATCCAATGATTGTTATAAATCCTATTTTAGAATAGTGAATTTGAAAAGTGGTATCATATATTAATATAAAGTATTTGTCAAGGTTCAGCGATCCCTGAACTTACTTTTTTCATTTTAATTTTCTGTAATTAAAATTTGCTTGTAACCTAAAATTTGAATGCAATCCTCAATTCTTACCCTCCTCATTTACCAGAATAATCTTCAAATTTATGATAATTATTCACACATTTATATTCTGAAATTTTATACATTTTGATTAAATTTTCTACTTTTTAAGTAAATTATAAAGTATATATTTGACATGGTGCATTAGAACAAACTGTTACGTATAAGTTCTAATTTAACTTATTTTTTATGCATATTCTTATTAATTTAAATTTCATTCCCAAATTTTTATTCATTTAAAATAGTTATTTATGTCCATACCTGATTTTATTATTTGTGCATAATGGAGCAGCTGTTTTGTAGATGCACCAGCTGGTAGATTTTGTACAATTTCAGGAATCAAAGTCTAGAAATTAAATAAAAAACGTTGAAATAAGATACAGTTGAAGATATCTACCAATTTGCAAGTATTTGGAAGAATGTTTCTCTAAAAAGTTAAAAATGCAGACCAGGACAACCTGAAATCATACGTCAACTTGGGACTTCTGAGAAAGTTTTAGTACAACATATCTATACAAATCTTTACAATTATGACAAAACTAATATTTCTTCACTTACTGCATTCAATTGATCAGGATTGTGTCCAGAAAGCAAGAAATAGACATTACTGCACAAAATTCCTTGAGTCCAGTCATCATCTTGGCAAAAATTACCAATTTCTTCAATAAATCCAGTGGAGGGCAAAAATTCATTCAAACCAATTGCTGAAGTAAGCCACTACAAAAACAAGATTTTATTGCATTGCACAAATAAAATATTGATAAATGATTCATGATTACATCTGCTTGGTTTCTAACTCGAGCAAGAATTTGATAAAAGATATTTGGATCGTGTGTCATGAAAA